AAAAAAAAAAAAAAAAAGCCCTGCACTCACCAGCTCTGGCAACAGTGATCAGGGCCTCTTAGGGCTTGTGACAGAGCCCCTCCATGCATGGCAGTGGGGAGCAGTGGAGATTGCCCCTCTCTGCTTGGCACCCACACAGCAACTGCCAGATGGTACGGGTGCAGCGCGGCTCGGCAGGAGACTGATCACTGTCTGGGAGCTGGGGTGGCTCCAATTGTCAACTGGAGCCTGACACTGCTCAGCCTCAGTGGCCCCAGCTCTCAGACAGTGCAAAGCACCCTGCTTTGTCACACTGCACCCTTATGATGCAACACCTGCCGTGAGGGTACCAGGTGCGAGGGCAGTCCCCACTACCCCCACTGCCCCTTGCTGTATGGGGGGGAGGGAGGGCTCTGTCATGAGCACTCAGAGACCCCAATCATTGTTTCTGCAGCTGGTGAGTATGCAGCTTTTTTTTTTTTTTAAGTGCTGGAACTAGGTTGGGGCCAGGCGGGGGATGGGACTGGGCAGGGAAGCCATGGGGGCTTCTCCTGCAGCTCCCCCCACCTGGGGAGAGGCAGGGATAGCCAGAGGATCTGCCCAGCTGTGTCTTCCTCTCCCTGGCCAATCCAAATCACTGCATTTCTCTGAGGTGTCATGGCAAGGCAAGCAGTTAATCCAGAGCAACCAAGATCAAGCAGACGAGTCCAAGGCACCAATATCCAACAATGCTTTTGCTGGGGTTTTATAGCCTTTCAATTTTATAGCCTTCTTGTGGTTCCTATTGGTCCTCCCAGGCCACTTGGTCCCCCCCATTTAGAACATCATGAGAGGACTAAGGTTGAGCTGGGACTAATGGTTGGTCAGTTGCTTGGTGGGACCACAACCTTGGCTTCTGCCTATAGATGCAAAAGATCTGGGTGTCACACCTAAGTAGTGGTGTTTTTAAAACTCTAATCTAAAATTGGAACAAAGTTGGTTTATTTATGTGGTTCTTCATACAAGTTGAACAGTGAAATGGCTTTGACAGAAAAAGCCACTTTCCTAATCATGTTCTATTATTTATCTGGCATGACAGCCTGGAAATGATCGCACACCATTAATCGCTGCCTGTTGGCATTTCATCCACTTGAGTTATGAAAGGCAATTCAGAAGAGACAAAAAGGTGAATTTTTGGCAGTAGTGTAAACAAGTTTAAAGGATTCAGTAAAAAGAATTAATGAACCTTAATTTAGTCAGTTTATAGACAGGGCTCCTGGCACGTGGAGTATGTATCCATGTAAGTGTGTATATTAAATATGTTACAGATTATAGTTGCAATAATGTGTATAATCTGTAACATATTTAACACATGCTTACATGGATACATACTCCATGTATATATCTATATAATATTTAACTGTTTTACTGTTGTTTCCTTTTTCTCTGTTGGAAAGAAACCACAGCTAACTGGTCTGGATCAAGTAGAGCACTCTAATCTGTATATCCTGGCCCTAAAAGCTTTAATAGCAGCCTTACCCATGCAATTAAAGGATTCAGGGTTTTCCACTGAGCATTAGAAGATTTTGCATTTTTATGATGCCATCCTCAGCTAGTTACAGAATAGCTGGTCTTGAAAGAGGCAACAGATAGCCACAATTTCTTTCTTCATTAAGACCGGTAGTTTCTTTTTGTTTTCAGGTTAGCTTGGGCAGTGCTTTTATGATGTTCTCTTTAAAGAAGAAATAAATGTTGGAGTGCCCTACTTTTAAAATAAATGGTCCCTTTTATTTAGTTTTAATAATAGATACTAGCTTAGGCCCAAACTTTATACATAGGATCTCATTCTCCCCTGAGCTTTGAGGGTTCTGAAATCAGGACTAGCTTTACATTTCATGTTGGGATCCTACTTCTGTAATGGCTTGAAGCTAAGCCAGGGTCCAAATACCTCCAATATTTGGTTTGGCTTCAAAATCCAAAACTGAATCAGAGTTTTGTAACCTAGGCCTTATTTGTTGCTATTATATTTAATGATTTTTTTCATTATTATCTATGTTTATTAAAATAGATGTAGAAAGAATTATTCTGGGATTATTTTTAAACTCAAGCATTGACTGCTTCCTGTGGCATTAAAAAAAAAAAAAAAAGATTTTCAGAAAATTCAGGCTATCATCTGGATTTTAGAGAATCAACAGCAACATCTTCAGGCCTTTGATAGCATTATGACAATGTAGAAAATTAATGGCTACATAGCATATACATAACCAAAAATTTTGAGCTTGTAAAGAAAACAGGATGGAATATTTATATGGACCTATATGTAAAACCCATCTTTATTGGGAAGGTAGATCTTTGATGTTAGAAGTAGCTCAAACAGTGGCCTCTTAAAGACCTATTGGTTTAATTATTGTCAAAGGGTGATAATGTGTTGCCTTTTGTTTCTCTTAGGGTGAAGTTACATGTTACACTTAGATCATACTAAGGTTACTTAAAATGCAAATGTATGCACATTAAATCTCATTAACTTGTGCTAAGTGCCCTCTGAGAGTCTCAGGTGAGGGTAAACTCTGGGCCTTGCTACCTAGCTCATGTTAGGATAACTTTAGTCTTCTCTATGGAAATTAAATGAGCAATTTGCAATCCTCCAGCATCCTAGCCCCTCATTCCAACCCAGAGCAGGGATAGAGTCATGGTGTCCTGGCTCCTAGTCACACCCATGCTCACCAGCCCACCAATGGCAAGTCAGAGCAGTGCAGGCAAGAAACGACAATAGCCCTTAATGTGTAACTGCTCACAGCCCGTTCCAACTTTTACACTGCTTAACATTGCACATATTTAGTGTGCCTGAAATGTAATGTGTAACTTCACCCCAGATGTGGGTGCTTTTTCCCCCATGTTAAAGCAAATGACATATTGGTGTTATTTAACACAGACACACTGCTGTTGAATATCTCCAAGATAATATTAAATAGAATATATCCAAAACAGGTCAGCCTCAGGGATTTTTGTTTAATTTTAAGGATTGAATTCTGTTAATTACTTCAGAAAATTCACAGATTTGTCATGACAGATTTGAAATAAATATTTTGTGTAGTTACAAAAACTTAATTTAAAATGTGTTTATCATGTTTTGAAGAGGAGGGTAGAAGAAGAGGAGGAAACATCACCAATATCAGAATAGGAAAGGTCAGAGGAAAGGAAATAATATGGTTCAGTATTTCCTGCTTGATTCAAATGAAAAATACTAGAATTCCAAGGATAGAATTTTGTGCAATTTCTATTCTTCATCTATATTCCCTCATATGCAGTATGTTCCTTCACTTCGCATCACATCTGCAAACTATTAAAAGTACTGAATCAAATTTCCAGAAGATCATAGCATGGGCAACTGGTGCCTCCTGGTACTGAGGGGGCACCAGCGGCTGATTACCCACCGGGGTTGGGGTGTCTCACAGTGGCTGATCACTGACCAGGTTGGGTGGGGGGCCCAGCAGCCGATTGCCACCACCACCAGAAGTGCCGGCAGCAAACTCAGAAGTGCCACTGGTGCATCTCTTAACACCCCCACAATCTCAGGGGTGTGCCAACCATTTCCCCCCACTCCCTGGCTGGAGAGGGCCAATCTCAGAGAGAGCACATGCGCCCCCCCGTGCTCCCTCTATGCATCACCTAGTGTTGTCCTAGTTGTGTCCCAACAAGTACAAAACTAGACCAACTTAAATGCTTTTGGAAATCCTGTTTTTCACCCATATGAACAGCCCATTCCTTAATTTACACGAGAACCGTTTTGACTTCAATATCAGTTTTGGATGCCTGAAAAGTTCAAGATTGTGTCCTTCCTATGTGTGTGCCCTTAATCAGGAGAACAATATTATTGATAGTGATCTGTATGCTTATGAGAGAGTGACATCTTCTCCAAGTCAATGAAAAGTCTGCCTCTCTAAATGTTTCAAGGCAAAGTTTCTATGGTACTGTATTAGGTCCCTTGATATCAATACATTCATAACATTAAACTGCATGCAAATCAATGTAGATGAACATTTTGTAAACATATTCAGAAATGACTTGCCAGTATGTTACCAATATTCCTTAAACAGGAAGGGGGAGGGGGGATAGTTAATTACCACTTTATTTTATGTTCTTCCTCCATTACATGTCTGATTTTTTTATGCACTATTATTATTTAATTCAGCTGTAAAGCACTTGTGAAAGGGCGTGCCAGTTGCATGGTAAAGTGATTGATTAAATGCATAGTACTATAAAAAACTTAAACTTGTGGAAACTAAGGACCTGGTCCTATCCCATCTATTAGGCACTTTAGTGGATCTTGTTCCATGCTGCTGAAGCCTCTGAAAAATAGGTAACATAAAGGTGAATGGATTCTCCTTTTGCTAGACACTTTGTATGGTATATTCTTAGGCCTAAAATGATAGCATGCTACAAAAGCAAGTGTATTCGCATTTTTTAGGGACTTGAGCAGTGTGGAATAGGATCACACTTAAACACCTAGTAAGTGGAATAGAATTTGCTACTAGGCATTTATCTTGATCAATGTATAGAATCTGAGTTATACAGATATGCTGCATGATATATTTGCTGCTTTTCATTTTCTGTTACATACATAACAGCTTTTCTTCCATATCATGTTTAGGTTTTCTTTGGATCGTCACACTGACCTTGACAGGGTATTTAATATACACTCTGGAAATGGATCCATCTACACTTCCAAACCACTCGACCGTGAGATATCACAGTGGCACAATCTTAGTGTTATAGCAGCTGAGATGAGTAAGTCAATTCGTGTGTGATTTTTCTTTTGTTGTAACTATTAAAAACAAAAAAAGACAGTGAGGAGACAGCTGTTTACCTTTTTCTATGAGCTCCTCAGCTCCCAGATAAGAGGAGGGCAATGGAGTCTCAGTTATGGCCTGAGACCAGGTTTAAAGGGCTAGACAGCTGACATCTGCCTTCCCCAAACAAGTGAAAATGAGTGAGGAAAGAATGCCCTGTAGTATACAAGTTTATTGCTAGATAGCTCCCAGATGAGTTAAGTTTATACAGCTATGGCCTAATCAAACCACATTCTCACATCTTGTCCTCCTGTTCATTTGAGACAATAGCAACTAGTGTTAGAGCAGCTGAGATCAGTAAATCAGTGTGTTGCGGTGTGTGTGTGTGTATGAGAGAGAGAGGGGAGAGAGAGCAAGAGCAAGAAAGGGTAAGAGAGATAAAGTTTTCTTTCTTAATTTTCCTCATTAAAAAAATTGTTTTAGTACTTCAGTTAGATCCTCTAGCTCTTAGAATCAATATATCTTACAAATACATAGCCCGAGTGGTTTGCACATCTCTTGATTTAGATCTTCTTTTTTACATTTATTTTGACTTTACACATAATCAGAATAAACTTGGGGTTCCGTTTAACCCGGTATAGTAAAGGTAACTCCAATCCCATTAACACACAAGATCTGAGGTGACAAAATTGTGAGGTTTTTCAAATCAATATATGAGACGCATCCATTTGAAAATTTACTGTTTTTAGGTAACTTCTGTATCAGTGGAAGTAGCAGTCATTGCTGATAATAAACTCATGGTGGTATAATGCTTCAGTACTATTCATTGTGCTATCTTTGCTCTTTCATGGTATTTATATACTATGGGAATTCAAGGTTCCTCTATGCTTAAACGAAGCTATTAAGCTCATTTCCCTGTCAGGATATTTTGAGAGAATTTAACTTCTAAACCTAGGTCTAGTAATTAGGACTCTTTAAAGAGGTATGCTAATTTTTTGAAAAGTTCAGGTCTTTTAAGTGCAATCAGTCTGCATAGTAACTGCTTGAAATTTGTACCTGCCAAACCCAGCCCAATCACTATCCATTTATAACAGATTAATGTACTTCTCTGCAGACAGGAGAGAATGTTTGGATACTTAGTACATTGTTTTCCATGGACTTCCAGATTTTTGCTCTAAATGTGACATTTTAAAGCAATTCTTTATGTCAGTAGATATCCTACTAACATTATTCTGTCAAGTTCTGCAGTCAGTAGTGTAGGGCTGTGCAACTGGTGGTCTGCAAGATGTATGTGGCTCCCAAAGCATTAACTTGAAGCCCATGGATTCCTGATTTGGACAGTGCTCCCTCCCCGCCATCGCCCCATCCCACTCTGCTACCAGACTCTGGTCTCTCCCTCCCTTCTCTGGCTTCTGTTGCCAAACCCCACCCCTGGTAGCCTAGTTGAGGAAGTCTGTAGTTAGATGGCTTGGGGACCCAAGGGCCTTGTGGCAGCACCATGTGGGGCACCAGCCTGGTACAGCAGGCAGACACCCATTGCATGATTCAGTGGGAGGGCGGTCACTGAAATAGTATAGCAGCAGACACTTGTATTATATGTAGGGATGACCACAGTGCATTGCAGCATGCAGCCTGAGGAACATGCCACCCTGAAGCTCCCAGCCACTCAGAAATTGGATGGCCCTGGTATAATGATTGCTTCAATATACTATGGTAAATCAAATGGTAACTCCAGTTAAATCAGGAATTTGAGATCATATTCATTGTTACTTATTTCATGAACAATTTGAATGGTAATCAGAGTTATTAAATATACGGAGTTCACCTTTTTGTAGCTACAGCTGATATTATTATTGAAGGGAGGACCAGCAAGAAATGCATGTTGGATATACAGATAAAAGTTATTTTTGTACAAGCCTAAGCAAAACAGCACACCTGTGATATCAAAGAAAGGAAAGAAATATAAAAAAAATGACCATCAGTCATATTACTCATGGTCCTTTCAGGGAAAAGGGGTAAAGCAGATGACACCTTTCTGATGCTCATATCTTCCCCAGTGGTACAGTGGGAACATCACTTATAAGGTGTTATACTAATATCCTTTTCATGTTATATCTATATATATAGTTTCCTTAAAATACCTTTACATATCCATAATGCATGACAGTAGCTACTTTTTTAAAAGCATTTTCAGCTTTTATTGAACACTGTAAGAGTAAATGAGTATTGGATTTTCCTCCCAAGCACAATACATTGGTTTGGGTTGTTATTATGCTAGATAGGAGACAAGTGTTGGGAACAGGAAAATGTACTGATACTTCAGTTGTCCTGCACACCTGAGCACCTCAAGAATAAAAAATATTTACTCAAGGGCTGCAAGTTATAGGAATATGACCACTGATTTCAAGCAAAGAAGATACAAGCTATTTATTCTGTTGTAAAACATTTATATATACACATTTTATTTCTTACAGGAAGATGTCTACACATGCATTTAAGTATGATTACATTTAATGCTCATTAAGCTAATGTGCATTAAGTGATTTTTGGCAGGTGTCTGCACATGCAGGGACTTGGAAGTAATGTTAATACAAATTCCTGAAGCCCTGCCATGTGCTCCTAGTGGCTGAGCAGACCCAGCGCTAAAGTCCAATATGGCACCTAGGGTTGGTGCTCTGCTCATCTCTACATACTTATTCTACTGGTATTAGGGGTCATATTTCTGCTCTGACTTATACCAATATGCTCATTAGATTTTCTCATGATTTAAACCAAGAATATGAGAGGAAAATGGGAACCTTGAGAGTTTCCTACAGATTTGCATATATCGTAAACTAGTTAACCCTTGTTCAGTATAAAACAAATTTAATTATATCTTTTATGTGTGGTTTGACTTTTAAAAAAGAAAAAAAAACTCCCAGCAGAACAATACTCTTGAGCATATCAATAATAACAATTATAGTCAGGTAATAAAATGAATAAAGGTATTTTCTTATATATTTATTGATTTTCAGGAACAAAAAATAGTTTTTGTTTTCACACAAACAGCTGAATTGCTCACTAGATACTAAAAAATTAATTTGTTTCTGGCCCTGAGTGCCAGCTTGACTCAAACCTCTGATAGGCTGAGTCCAATAAAGCCATGCCATGGTTGAGTATCTAGTTTTAAATGCCCAGCTTTGGTTGCATTTGAAGAAGACAGTGTTTGAATGAGATGAAAAAATCACTTGTTCTTGTTTTCATGCTTTTCCTTTTGTCAGACAATCTTAAAGATACTACTCGTGTCCCTGTTTATGTTAGAATTTTGGATGTTAATGACAACGCCCCCCAGTTTGCTGTATTCTATGATACGTTTGTATGTGAAAATGCAAGAGCTGGACAGGTAAGTTGTCTGTAAATCCTTAAAGCAATTTGGTTTTACTCTAAAACAGAGTTCTTGATCATTGTTAAAAATATATGGTTCAGTGAGATTTTTTCTTGAACACTTCATGAGATATAAAATTAAAACAATATATTGGCAGTGAATGAAGCTTTAGACCTGCTTAACAGTAGTTTACAACTGTATCACAATGGAATTTACCAAATGAGTTTTCTTTAGTTCTTCAGAAAGGACTTTCAGAAAGAGCTCTGTACATTCTCCTTTCAGAGCTTTTGCTTTAGTAGCTGTTTTGTTGTTGCATCAGATGCCGTACTGTATAGGTCTGAAAGATATGCTCTAATTGGTTTCAATGCTATCTTCACAGAAGAATGTAACATGTTATAAATAATAATTGGTAATCAAATTCGATTTTTTTTTAAAGACATCTTTGTCACAGAGCTTGACTGCCATTTGAATTCATATTTATGGCATTTATAACATCAATACCACACTTATTTTTTTTATGCAAATGACATTTCTCTTTCAAACACTTTCTGTGGGAGAATCAAAAACATAAAAGATGTCAATTTTGAATTGGTAGCATATTGTTTTGTTTGGCCTTTTACAGGATCCAGAAAACTATACTTTATCTAAAATGAAATGACTGCTGCTCACTATCTAGTTTCTAGGATGCAGCTATCAATTAGGATTGTTCAGTTTCCCTATTACTGAAAAGGGCATGTTTTGCAGTACATTAAGCCAAAAATAAAAGGCCTGTAACGAGGCTGCAGTATATATAGTATATAGTGATATATGAGTATCGCAGAATTGTTAAAGAGAGTGCAGGGGAAGAGCTCAGGTTTATCAGAGAATAGGTTGAGTACTATAAGCTGGTTATTTAGTTTGCTATATTAGTATCATTTTCTGAATTCCTTCATTATATTGTCCTTTGTTATCGGTTTTTTTTATTGGGTTTATATGTATACATTCAGGACCAGATCTTACTTTACTTAAAGGGCATCTGAGTGAAATTGTGCACCAAAGTGTGCTTCTATTCTACCCTGTTAAATCCCTGAAAATTCATGAATGACTACTTTTGTAACATACCCCATTCTACCCTTGTGAATGAGCCACAAAATGGCAGCAAGGAGTATAACCCACCTACCTTTTATATTCACAGATTTTCAGGCCTTTGAGTAGGATGCAATAGGGTCACAGTTAGGTGCCTAAGTCCAGTTATGCATCTAACAGGTGGAATAAAATCTGGCCCTCAGGAGTATTTATTATGAGGCAGGCAACTTACATGCTTTATAACTAGCTTGGGCCATTTTTTCCATCTGGTTTTTGGAGTTTTTTAAACTTTAAATTAAATGCATTTCTCTTTTTAAAAATGCATCTATTTTAAATTAAATTTGAATTTATGGCAGCTTATATATATTTAATTTAACATTCATAGATTATAATGGCAATATTGAGCAGACCACACATGCCAAAGTTTCTAATGGAAATCATTGACTAACCACCTGGAACTGTAAGTTTATTGACAAGATAAACCAGCTTTTGACAGCAGTAGCCTATTCTGCAGATGAAGAGAGAATGTTTTCTTCATTTCAGTTTATTCAACTAATTCAGTTCACTGACTAGTCCATTCAAAGATAAGAAACAGATGGAGAGCTGCAAAAGAAGAAAGCTCATTTTCTTTTTTCCAATCCCTAAATTAAAATAAAATAAAATAAAATAAATGGAGGTGGGGGGGAGAGAAACAGTCAACTTAAAATCCTCAAAGTTTTGGTAACCAGAAATAATTGGTTCAATTTACTAACTAAACTACAGGAAATACTTCCATTTTTAATGGAGCAGTTACTTCTAATTGGAAAATCCTTTGGAAACTACCTTCCCCTCCACTCCTACCACCATCACCACACTGGGGTATCCAGCACATTTAAGGTTAATCTTATTTAATTGTGTATAATCATTTAATTCAGGGCCCAGCAGCCTTTTGCCAGCATTGGAGGCCAGTGCAAGCTGGAGCTTATGACCCAGCTGTTGCCAAAGAATGGAAGTCTCTGCCCCTCCAACCCCTCAGCTGCTAGATTTCTGGCCCCTCTTCAGCAAGAGTATGCTCAGGCACTACAGAAAAGCAGGCTCTGTGGTGGAAGGGAGCGCTGCAGAGCAGATGGGCATCACTATGCAGCTCCATAACACCAATTTCTGTGTCAGATCAGACCTCTGGAGGCAGGATCAGATCTTTTTGTGAGCCAGATACAGACTAAAGGCTGTAGGTTGCCAACCCCTGATCTATTTTTTTTTTAAAGTAAAGAACCTTATAATTTACCGTTTCCTAACTAAATAACCTAATAAAAATTAAAAATATAAATAAAAGTATGCTAAACTATACATTTGTTTCAATAAATAAGTAGAGATATAGGAGAGAACTCTAATTTACTTTATTTGCCTAAATGATACAGATGACACCACATAGTTGTGATTTGGGCACTTGTGCTTGGCTTAGGATTCAAGTCTAGGGACTCTTATACACATTCAAGAAGGCTACTCCAACATGCTATAATTATAATTATTGGAACCAACCCAATTAATTAAGTCTGCTGGAGCTTGGTAATTACTGCATACCAGCTGATTCCATCATCATGTGTATCAGCATCCCCATGCTGAAAAATGGTGCTGGGGCACTTTAATCTAAAGCTTGTTTGATGAACTTTAGTTCAAAGCACCTCATTGCCATTTTTCAGTGCAGGAATGATGATACACATGATCCTCAAGATGCTGATACACATGATGCTCAAGATACAAATGACCCGCCTCCCCCATGCCTTCTGAAGCACATCTATAAATGCCCTAGGTGTGCAATGTCTACATTGAACATGCTCAGCAGGATTTCACTCTGGCCATGCAGGTAGATAGTATCATATACTTGCAAAGCCAGGCAAGTCCCAAAATTGTAGCCTTGTATAAAGTCTTGATGGCAGATAAGGATAACCTTTCTATAGTTCAGCCCAATAGTTTAGTGTCTAGGGTACTTGCCCAAGAAACGTAAGGTGTAGGTGGTAGGTCTCTCTTGCCCAAAGGAGGTTGAACCAGCACAGAACTACAACTGTCAGGCCACAGGTTAGGCATGATCTAAATGCATCTCCAGTGCTCCTTTCGAAGCTGGCCCACCTTATCTTTCATTTCATATTCTTTGGATATGAAAGGTTCTGTTCCAGAGCACTAGCCATTTCACTAAACTACACACTCTCTGGTTTACTCTTCCAGCTAGCTTCTTGTTACTCACTCTCATGGCTGCTCAGAGGGTGAGCTGAAAGAGGAAAACCGCAGGGAACACTGTAGTAGGAAGAAGGAGCTAGAGGTTCAAAACACCTTTGTGTAAGAGAAGGCCTGGAACAGAGGTTCTCTTTATGCTCAAGCACCCCTCAAACAATGCCAGCTCTTAGCTTTCACTTTCTTTTTACTATGGAAAAATAATATAGCAATTCTTCTATTGCAAAAAAATACTTGGAAAATTAAAACAGGTCAGAATGTTTTTGACACTGTGGATTCCTAGCTGATATATCTGGGTGCAAACTGATGTAACTCTTAAACTAGTTTAAATGTGGTTTAAACGACAAGCATCCAGACACACACGGCAATTTTAAACAACTTAAACTTCCTGAACCATTTCAAAACTATACTTGGATAATTAGGTATTATTTTGACCTGGTTCTCTATGAACCAGTTCTATATTATGTGTGGGCACCAACTTTTCCATGACTAGTATCTGACTGGTCCTCCAGGCATCCCGCACTGTATTGCTCTTCACCCCCTACCCCACCCGTAATGTGGCAACTGGCTGATCTGTTATGCAGTCAGAACACCGCTGCCTCAAACTCTATTGCCTACACTTGCCATCAGTGTTCCTGGCTAGGGGCTCTGCGGGCAGTTTTCTGCTGCTTTTAAATGGCAGATCAATTTATTTCTGTTGGTACCAATTAGTGCAGGTTTTGTGGATCCAAGGTTTACTTTGGCTAGGTTGAAGCTTGGAGGATGGGAGGGGCAGGGGAAGGAGCATGTCTGAGGCTTGGCGGCTCTACAGGGCTACCTAAGGACTCCACTGCCACTCATGGAAGGAAATTGACTATTTCTTTATTAGCAGCAGAGAGTTGCTTTAAAAGCCACAAAAGTTCTGGGAGCTCAAGAGCCTCCATCTCCCAGGAATCCCCATCACACACACACACACACACACACACACACACACACACACACACACACACACACAGAGGCACTCCCAGTCAAGGTACCACCAACACAGATTTCAGTAAAGTACAGGAATGGTTCTTTATTAAATGCAATGCTAGTGAGAAGGGGAAAAAGAAAATTGCATTTGGGCTGAGTACTTATTATCACCCCCTAGACCAGGGGCGGGCAATTATTTCAGGTGGAGGGCTGCTTACTAAGTTTTGACAAGCCATTGAGGGCCACATGACAGGCAGTCAGGGGCAAATAAACATTAATTTTCTAAATTTTTTAGGGGCTCTGCAGGCCGGATAGAATGGCCTGGTGGGCCACATCTGGCCTAGGGGCCGCATTTTGCCCACCCCTGCCCTAGACAGTGGTGCAATGCTTGCAAAAAGTAATTGTTCTATTTAGAAACCTCAGCAGTATATATGCAGACACTGCTCATCCTGGGCTAGTATGAACCAGTTTCCAATAGGTTATGTCCTTTAATGGTTCAAGTAATATAGCTGCCCTTGCCCTCTGGGTATAATTTGTGAATTGTGCTCAGGTATTTTTACACTTTACAATGCTAATATTGTGCCACATCCAATAGAACCTTTATAAGGATCTTGTAGCACACCAGGGTGCCACAGCACTGTGGTCAGCAGCCATCATCCTAGAACCTGGATTTCTGTCTGCTCTAGTGAGTGATCTATGGTGCTAAAACATGGTGTTAGCATTTCTTGCACCCTATCGTTTTTTTCTCTCCTGGTTCTTAATTTATTGTAGAATGTTTTTATTTTCAAAGATAC